GGCTTCCACCGCTCACCCTGAGACGTGAGTACGGACTCCAAGCGCACAACAATCCCGAACACACATGCATAAGGAAAGGCGCAAGAAGGAGTTTTGCTCTCTAATTCAGGCCTATCTATTCCCCAACGACTATAGACGTACGATAACCACAGTAATGTTAATACCAAACCACCACCTCATTCCCTCTACCACATTTTCCCTCTACGCCCCGCAGACGCATCGCATATATCTCGAGTAATCCTTCCAAGAGCATGCACACAGCACGTCACATCCAGCAAACACATCTCGACCCTAGCCAGCACCTCACGTGAACGTCGCAGCATGCGCTGTGACATACTTCGTATATGCATCATGCATGTCTGCCACCATCTGTCACATTCCAACTGCATGATACATGGGCGGCTATGCTCGACGCCGAGATCGGACGACTTGTCTGTACGTGTATGTACGCTCTGCGATGTGACGTGACGTGGCGTGGCTCAAGTACCGCAATGGTAGACTCCGATTGTGTGGAACGGCGTAGGGCTGCGGTTGGTAGTGATTGAAGGGAGATTGTAAATACATTGATTATTGTGTATCGAGTGTATCGGTAGATATAATTTTATTGCATAGGATATGTTTTTGAATGGAGAGAATAGCTTGGAGCGACTTGGTGCCACCTGAAATGCATTGTAGATAGAGCCTGTAACGTACAAGAGGAATTATTGAGAAAAGAGTGCCGTGTGTTACAAGTTTGGAGCCGTGTATCCACCAGTGTTGTAGAGATTGTATGTTATAAACTTCAACGTAATGATTAGGGGCGCGTTCCGACCGTCTCGTATCGACCGCGCTGCCGAGCCGTTCGTGGCCATGTATCCGCTCGCTGAGCTCGGTTTGCAAACCGCGACATGATGTTGTACAATAAACGGGGTGTTCAGTTGCCAAATAGGACACGTACCGCATTCACAAGTGCTGCGGTAGTATAATCGTTGACAGTCACAAGTGCCGGAAAGTCGTATGCCGCATTGACGTAAGCCTGGCCCGTAGCGCCATCATCGATGAGAATGAAGATCGTCGGAAGGCCCGGTATAGTATCGCTTCTTGGTATCTTTTTCGAAATGCTCCGTGCAAACTTCAATTGCCGTTCAAAAGCCTGAGCATGGTTGCTGATGACGTTAGAGGTGGCGCATATGACGATGACGACTGCTCCGCTGGTTGGTAGGAAATCGGCGTGCATCTCTGTCATACCAGAGTCGAGACGATATGGGACGTGTCGTACTTGTCTTGGTAAAGCGCGGCCGAGAGGCTCGAAAGGGTCCATGTCTTTTGCCAGTGTCGTCGATGGCGAATGGGGTACGAATGGAGTGAAGAGTGTAATTATCTCTGCTTCATTCAGGCGCCGCAATCGTTCGAGAGTCTGCGTTGGACATCGTACAATCTTGGCGGTTCCGGAAGATGGATCCTGCGTCGCGGTCGACCTGCTAGATGCTGAAGTCATCTTGGGTCGATGTGTGTTGCTCTTTGAGGACGGTTGATTCTTTCGTTCACCCATCACTACGCGGCTGCGATTGTTACTATGGCGACGATAGAAAAGCACACAAAGGTCCTAGGTGAGCCAGCCGAGAGGAAGATTCGAGATTGCTTTGGGCATCGTTTGCAAAAGCGCAGCTCTTATATTTCGATCGCCCAGACTCAAGTTCCCATGGTGAATCGACTCTTGCTTTTGCAGGGAAGAGACACCGTCAGAATACTGTGCCGGTTGACGTTGCAAGCCGAAGCCAGCCGGCAACGGGCGTAAAATGTTATGCTGGATGGCAAGGTAGATGGTTCCGGCTATGGTATTCAGGAGTACAAAAAGCAGCTATGCAAGGTTGCCGGTAGCCACCCCAGGAATCGTCAAATGAGGTGCTGATGTCGAGTGCTTGTGGATCGCCGAGTGGACCGTGACCTTGTTAATAGTAGCTGAAGTTTCTCCCACCCTGTTCGATTGGAATTAAGCTCCTGAAGATGTATGTCAATACGATAGATAGTAATACTTGGGGTGGTACCAGATAAAGAACGAAGAGAGTAGTACACGACCTCGGCCAGGCAGTCTCCGGTGCAGATAAAGAAGTGCATCCACTACCGTAGCAGGCGGAGGTCTTACCGATTGGATAACGATTTCCCGTTCACAGCCATGACTGACACGACAGAAGCGTTGCCGTAGCGTGCTTGCGCATGTCAGTAAGGAGCACGACTGGCGTATAAGTGCACGGCGACGGTTGCATCGGGTAGCAGCAGGATCGTGTATCGAGAATAGATGACGCCACATCCAGTCGCAGATCCAAGCTCCACATTGATCAGAGATGTGCGTGTCAGCCTGTTGTAGATGAAGGGCAGTCCTAGAGGCCCGCCGGCCGTCCTGATAGAGGATGATGATCCAAGGAAAGCCGGCCACTCATTTCAAAGCAAGGACCAACAGCCAGGTTGATAATGAGGGTCGATACCCGACGCGTGCTTGTCATCGCGGGCAAGGCGTACAACGCGCGGGGGTCAGTACAATTCGAGTCAAGGTTGCAGGAGGCGTGCTTGAGTTGATGGCTGACCCGCAAGGCCACCGCCCATAGCGGGCCAGTAGCAGTTGCGCAAGCCGCAATCATTACATTTCGATGCTTGCTGTGTAACACAAAGGGTTGACCTCGATGTGGCGATGGGCGAGAGCTTCGATGCATGCTCCAGTGATGACACGGCCATGCGGGTGACATCTGCACGATTGATTGAATCAAGCACGAGTAGCGTGAACGAGCCGCGGATGGCCAGACCGGCAGCCGCGATGTTGTGTGCCCACACAGAAATATTGGCGATGATATCGAGGCTGGTGATACATTGATGGCATCGTTGAAGCAAATTGGTGCGAGCAAAGTGCATGTGAAGAGTCGTGTTGACCGCGATGTGTTAGCGGGGCTGCTCGCTTGTTCGTAGCCCATCGAAACAGGGAAGGCGCGATCAGGCTGTCAACAACCACCGCGACGCGTCTGCATCATCAGCGGCTCATACAACAACGGCCGACAACTGTCTTACTGTATGCACGCTGCACTGGTAGCGTGATGCCATCGGTCGCCGGTAACCCCACATTGACTTCGCTCCAAGCCAGCTACTGATGGACTCAGCAGAAGAGCGGCCCACGCTGCAGGAGACGCTAAACTTACTGCATCAAGGTAGGTGTCGATATGCAGCAACGAGCCCAGTCAGGATCAGTGCTTACACCGGTCTGCAGCATCTAGAACAACAGCAAAGCAACGGACCGTCAAGGTCTCCAGTATAGTCGATGTCATCTGCCGTTACGCCTCGGAAGATGGCCTTGACCAGGATGCTCTGCGAGACATAGTGCAGCTCGCGTCGGTGAAGACCCTGCTAGACCAAACCACCATCACGACTTTGATCAAGAACTTGTACCCGTCTCAAAAGGTTCCAGGTGATGTTGTCATCACGATTGTTGGTGCGCTGGGGCAGGGCAAGGGCAAACCTTCGCCCGGTACACAAGACAGTCTTGTGAAATGGCTCATCGCCATCCATGAGGTCGTGGAAGATTCGAGCGTCTTGTCCCGACTATATGGTGTGCTGTTTGGCATGCTCGACATGATCAGTATCAGGTGCGTTACTTCGGCCTGTTACCAATAACATAAGTGCTAAATTTAGCAGGACATCTTTGTGCCATCTGCTGTCCTTGATCACTCGCAGGAAACACGTCAAGCCATTCCGGATCCAACAACTGTATGTACATGGCTTTCAGCATCGATACGACCCAGATACCAATAGCTGATCTTACTTCAGACTAGAGCTGTCTCGCGGTCTCGGCAACGAGCCTGCGCTCCAGGGTCTCCTCCGTGTCTACAAGGATTACTATCCCGATATAATACTCGGAAGCACTTCCACAAGCCGGAAGTCGTTCGCTCCGGTGAGTATCCGTTTCTGGTACTACCACAAATGCAACCTCAGATCCCCCACGCTACTTCCCCGCATCTCGTTGTCACACTGCTGGATGCACGCTAACTCAATAGCGACCTGATGCCGAATGGCAAGCCAGGATCGTTGCAATCCAGGAGGCTAGTGTGGCGGAAGACGACTCGAATGTAGACGGGCAGAACGGTTTCAAGGTGCTACGAAGAAGGCTGAGAGGCAGCAAAGGATCGGCGATTCCGGACGTGCATACCTACCATGCGACTGAGGTGGGCGAATATCTTTTCTCAACGTCTTGGAGGTGCTAACAGTGTGTGACAGAGCTCAGCAACCCTTGAGGGCATTGATAGTGTGGACGATTTCGTGGACAAGCTCGATAGAATAGAGCCACCGGGCCAGCTGATAGCGCTCCTCGTGGATCCGCTGCTACAGAAGTACGTTGACCTTAAGCCATCGCCAATAACAGCCGGTCGATTAGGAAATTGGCTTGCCACGTGCCTAGAAGAGCAATTCGAGGAGTACCGGCAAGGCACTGGAAACGAGCAGTATCTATCTGAAGTTCTCGGTGGGCTTTTGACGTACGCTCAGTACACAAAGGCAAGTGCATCAGCAGGTTTCACGTGCAACTGGCTAACTTATCAAAGTCACTCCATCCTACAGTACTGGCGTTTCTTCGTGAATACCTGCCGATATGGGATGGTCAGCAAGATCTCGATTGTCTGTTAGGACTGGTCTCTTATATCCCGATTGAAGCGTTTGAAGACGCCCACACAACCTATCTGTCCGCTGTCGAACGAGCCCTAGCAGCTCATGGCCTTACCGCGTACACAAAGCTCGTCGACTTCTACACATCTCTACTGCAGCACCAAATAACCCAGACAGCGTCCGGAGCTGCCGACCAAAGAGAGACGAAACAGGAAGTCTTAAGCGACCTAATCGAGCATGTAGCCACCTTGTTCACTTCGGCTCTCGTCTCCATCCCACCAGGTTCCAGCACCACCCTCACATCATCGATCCTCTCGTTCTACGAACTCCTCAGCACCTCGTCGAAACCACACGTCATCCCAATACATCTGCCACCGATGCATCTCGTCTACCTGCTCTCTCAGGACGCATCTTCAACGACGCTTTCTCGTATCTGCGGCATCATCGGCTCTTACAAGCTGGCTTTTGATGCGCACCCCAAGCCGGTCAAGACATACTATCCTGCGGAAGTCACAGATGCGTTCAATTGGTGTCTGCGCGACATGTATAATCTAGTGTGGATTTCCCGTGGTCTTCTCGTTCAGGACCAAAAGTCGAAGGGGTTGTACTGCGATCCGATACTGAGGGGGACACTGAACGAGTATCTACGGAGAGTAGATCGTGGATACACTATCGGGGCTGCGTTCACGTTGTCGTACAACGCGTGGTTGGCTTCGCTCTCTGCCGCGGCGTGGCGTGCGGTCGAGAAGAGGGAGGTTGGGAAGGTGGGTGAGAAGAATGTCACACGGTATCACGACGGACCTGTTACGGAAAAGAGTCTGGAGGTACTGAAGAGCAAAGGCGGTGTTGACGTCAATTGGGAGGGCGCGGATGGATACAAAGTCATGGTGCTGCAGTGGCTGACTGAGAGGGGGTTGGGTGGGATTAGGGATTTGATGTTCGCTACTGTGATCAACTTGAAGGGTACCGCCTGATCAACACTCATTTGATAGATTAAAGATGCTATATAAGCTATTAGTATTAGTCTAGTGTTCGATTTGATGTTCGTGGTACTTCGGCGCCAAAACACACAACACCACGGCGCACGGAGCACCGTAACGTATTGCCAACATATTGGGAATACGTTGGAATCGATTCAGAATCGATCCCAAATTATTGGCAGAACACCAACACTCCAACTCCCCAGACCTGAACATTCATGCAATCATGCATATATGGGCAAAGCTGCAGTGTTTATGCTCGCTATCCTCAACCCTGTCCTCAACCCCGAGTCTTCACCGAGTCTTTACTGAGTCTTTACTGAGTAAAAACTCAGACTTTACCCAGTCTTTACCAGCGCTAACCAAAGCTTCCTGCCCCTCATGCCCAACAGACAGTCCATGAGGCAGTGAATCCATGCCATTGTAGCACATAGCAAAACATCACCACCATGCATCTGCCCTAGATACTTCTGATAGCATTCCAAAAGCTTTCGAATTGCAATCTCATGTTCTCGGGCGACCTCGGCTGTTCCTCGCTTCACACATGAAGTTCTTGAAGCTCGGCTGTCCCACAGATTGCCCCCGATGAGCTCAGCTGTCCTGGGCTTGAAGCTCGGCTGTCCTAGAAATAATCTCCGACTTCACGCCCAGCGTATTTCTTCGCGTTCTTTCTCCTTTCGTTTCAACCACAACGCGTCGCACTTACGACGCGTCTTATCGCATCGCGGTTTTTCCACAACGCATCGCATTTCATTACATCACCTCATTGCATTACGTCTCATCCACATTGCGTCTCTCGCATCGCATTTCAGCAGCATCGCGTCGCGCCATGTCTTCATCAATGCGCGCCTACCCAACACCAACGCAAAACTCTGGATACGTGATTATGCTCCCTTCAGATCGGACACAATTAGACGAACACAACGCTACTCGAACATCGCGCAAACGCAAAGCATCCGACACCAATCCCGAGGTAAGGTCTGGCTGTACAAAGTGCATGTAAGACATATGCTGACTTCGTACCTCTACCTCTGTAGCCACCGCTTCGGCCCAACGTGACCGGCCATCGTGCACCATATCCACACAACTTACCTCACGGTCTCGTCAACGGGTGCAATATCTGCCCCAAAACGAGTCGACGCATTGTATGCAGTGGTTGCAGAGTAGTTCATTACTGCTGCCCCGAACACCAAGCCCTCGACCAGGTAGCCCATCAGACAATCTGCGATAGGATCAAGAGGCTTGGTGACCTTATTGGCAAAACCGAGCGTGAACTGGCCCCATTGTGCGAGTGGGATCGCTACCCAGGAGACGACGAGGACCGGCCCATCGACCCCTTCGGACCTTCGAACCCCAATTTCTGGTACTGGAAAAAGACCAGGAAGTACATGTACATGCGCCGGGATTACGCTTACGAGCTGATAAAACTCAACACCAAAACAGCGATCGACCATGCGTTAGATGACACATGGTCTCTCTTACGAATGGATCCCGAGGATCATCTGGGGATGCGCTGTATCATGCCCTGGCTCTTCCTCCGCTTGAAACGCGACCGAGAATGCTACGACTTCTGCAAGTGGTGGGTTACCGAAGCCAAAGACAGCGATTGGGACTGGCAGTCCGAGGATACACCCCTGACTTTTGAAGACGCTTTTGAGTCGGCTGAAGTCTTCGAAAGGATCAGAGATTACGGCGCAGCCCCTGCTACATTCTCCGACCTGTCGTTCCTCCTTGCCGTCTTGCTGCTCAAGATACGCATGCGTCAGGATCTCGAAATGCTGCGAATCTGTAGTAATGACAGCTTCTCGCAGTGGAGCTTGAGTAGCATCGTGTTGGATTTCCACAATGACCCTGAAAGAGAGGACGACCGTGAAGGAGAGGACTACCATGAGGGAAAAGAATACTCGCCGCTTCTTAAAGAGGTGGAGAACCAGATCAGAAGGCTCTATCGTGCCGTTGGCAGAGCCAACAAACACTTCTGGCCTGCATTCATGAATCCATGGACTCATCTCGAGGCCAAACCGTCATCTTATGGGCTGGGCGATGAAGCGGAGATGCAGATTAAGTTGCAGGAGTGCTTCAATGCTTGGGTGGAGACAGAAGACGCTATTGGACCGATCCATGATCTGATGGAAGGTGACGATGTGCATTGGTACTCCATGAGCGGAGTCTGATGTAGATAGTCAATCTTAGAATTGTTTTGAAGATGAGCAACCGTCATCGAACTGAAGGATGCCACCATGGGTGGCTACAATTCGTCTTATATTCTCAATTTGATCATCAAGCTGGAAGTAAACATTGCCTCGGACACGGTCTATTTGTTAGAATATAATAGCATGTATGCGACACGCATTATAACCATCCCTAGTGGTGCCATACAATGCCATGACCAAAGAGACTCGCGTAGTTGGGGATAACAACATACTCATCTCCTATCCCACATTTCCTTGATGATAGCCACAGCCCCAGGTGTCTCACGCCAAGTCGTGTAGCAATCCTGCACGGTAACCTTCGCTTCTGCCTCAGTACCCGCTAGAAATTCAGATCGCTTGAAACCCCGTTTCTGCGGCGGGTAAGGGTATAGCAACGCCGGCCAAAAGTATTTGTTGACTCCGCGTATCACTCCAAACAGTATGCTAACCTGTTCCCAAAGCGCTTCAAAAAGCTCCATTTCCTCTCTCATGTAGAACCCTTCCGGGGTGCCTCTCCGGTATCTCGCGGCCACAACGCTGCTCACGTGTCGCTGCAGATAAGTTTCAGGCTCGAAGTCGTTCCGTAACAACTGCAGATCTATGTGGATACGGATCTTGATAAGCATAATCGCAACGAGTAGTGATAGATCAGCGGGACTTTGCAACCTAGTCCGGTCGAAATCTCTGTTGGTGAAGGTCCTTGTGTAGTCATAGCCGCCGAGATGCTCAAACGCGTCTTCCGTCTTGAACAAATCAACCGGTCGCTCAAGCGCCAAAAGCGGACCATCGCCTGCCCAGTCATGATGCGTATCATTGCCTTTGGTAAGCCACCATTTACAAAACCAGTAGCAGCGCTCGTCGAGATCGAGACGGAGGAGTAGGATCGGTATAATGCTGCGGACGCAGAGGGCGTCTCTGGGATCAAGTCTTAGGATATCCGTGGCGTGCTCTAGTGCCGTTTCCACGGCAATCAGGGTATCTACCTCACGTATCGCGTTCACAAGCTCCAAGCGTGCTTTCAGATACGGTCTTAGTCCCTTGTATTTCCAGAATCGTCCCTTGGCGGTGTGGAAAGCATTGCGTGGGGTGTCGGCGTCTCCGTCATGGGCACGGATTGCTTGATCTTCCTTTTCCACATCGTCCATTGCTTTCTTGATTGACGTGCAGGCTTTTTTGTGGTCGGGCCAGTCGTCGTTTTGATGATCAGGACTACAGTACTTTATCACTTTGCAGCTAGTGCAAAGAACGGTGGGCTGTCGACCACAGCGAATGCATCCGTGGTCGAAATGAGGTGTCCGGTTACAGTGGACTGGCTTGGAATGGGTCTCGCTAATCTTTCCAGGGAAACGGCGTCGCATGGAGTCGGGGAACCGCTCGTCGAGGTCTGCTTCGGAAGCCAGGTACTCATCGACTGATGCGGTAATTAGTAGCGCTGAGGCAGGACGTCGAATTTAGACTTACGTTTTCTCTTCATTCGCTCGTGGTAGGCCGGAAGATCCATGGCGGGCGATGACAGGGCGAAACAGCTTTCGTGGACGATGAGATGAGATGAGAGAGGATGGGAGCGGTGTGCTGGAGAAGGAACGACCGAAGAACGCGACGACGTTGTGCGCGGCATTAATTAGCCGAGGTAAAGAAAATCAAGATCAGATCGAACGCGATAACGATGTGTTCGATAGGAGTTGAGGTTGAGTATCAACTGAGACTAATCTCAGATTCCGAAGTAGCCTGCCGGCGGGTTGAGATCACCTAGGTAGTCTACTGCAGTCTGAGAACATGGAACCTAGCAAGTGGACTATCTCAGTTAAGCTCATATGTTCCAGAGCTTTTAGCTTATACATTCTACAGTATCGCGGGATCTGTCGTAGTATGGGTTCTGAGTTGAGTTATGGGGTGGTGGTGGAGCCTGCGGGATCACTGAGAACACCAAAGCCAGGACCAATCCTGGAGATTTAGACAAGGTCCAACAACTACTACTCCGGCAAAAACGAACGTCAACAACTCAGGTATGCCAGGGCAACATGCTCACAGCTGCGAAGGTGCGCCGCAAGAATCACCGAGCATTGGGGTTGGGACGAGGCAGGGCCAGACTTGGGCCTCGGACACTAATGTCGGGACGTGAAGATGCGTGGGTCTTCCTAGCGGGAATGACTCGCGGCGGCGGATGTTGTTTTGTAGTTGTTGACGAACAGCCTCTTCATGCACTCCTGTGAGTTATGAAGAAGCTGCGTAGAGTCGCATGAATTGAAGTAGTGCACATAGATTCCAGTGAATATGACGCTGAATGCTTCGTGTGAAGAATTCTGGGATGAAAGCGGAGCTGCAGCTATGACGCTCGCGGGACGCGAAACACGTGCGCCCAAAGTTCCTGGGCATTGGCTGCGCGCAGCTCCCCACCAGCTAAACCCAGCTGCATTGCTTCATTCCCAATCCTCCATGCAGAGCTTTCCGGCGCCGGCAATTCTTCTATCCTGACTATTGCTACTGCGCGTCGCGACTGCTGGAGCTTTCACTTTCCCGCAATCAACTACACTCGTTCGCTAAGCCATGAAGTTCGGCACGACACTGCGCAAGAGCGTGTATACGCCTTGGAAGGACAAGTACATCGACTACGACAAGCTCAAGAAGCTGCTCAAGGACAACGAGGATGACGATTCTTGGACGGCCGACGACGAGAGCGCGTTTGTTGACGAGCTGGCCAATGTGCAGTTGGAGAAGGTGCACAACTTCATCACGGACATCTCGCAGAAGCTGCGCGACCGCACGACGGCATGCGAGAAGAAGCTGGAGCCATTGGCCATAGGGATCCAGGCGGAGGGCAAGGAAGAGGCCAAGGACGATAAGGAGAAGAAGGAGAGCAGCGGTGAGGGCTTATTCGGCGACGCGTCTGGCGAAGCGTCCAAGAAACCCGAGCCCAGCCAGCAGGAGAGGGACAAGATCCTCAAGGAAGTCCTGCGCGAGCTCGACAACATCACCAAGGAGACCAAGGAGCTCGAGAGTTTCAGCCGCATCAACTTCACCGCCGTCATCAAGGCCACCAAGAAGCACGACAAGATCCGCGGCAGCTCCTACCGCCTGCGGCCCTTTATCGATGCGCGCATTGCCCGCCACCCGCTGCACACCGAGGATGCCTCGCCGCTGCTGTACAGGCTGTCCGCGCTGTACTCGTTCGTCCGACAGAGCCTCGAGGGCAAGTCCAAGGAGGCTTTGTCCTTTGGCGAGACCAGCACGGATGGCGAGGGCTTCACCTCTCACAAGTGTAGGCACATTCCATCTTATTGACACGCACAAGCTAACACACACAGTCTGGGTCCACATGGACAACCTCTTCGAAGTCAAGACCGTCATCCTCCGCCGCCTCCCCGTCCTCGTCTACAACCCCATGTCGTCCAAGGTCGCCGAGGGCACCCAGCGCGACCCTACCATCACGTCTATTTACTTCGACAACCCCAACTTCTCCCTCTACTCAGACAAGGTCAACGGCAAGCCCGATGCCTCGTCCCTGCGCCTCAGATGGTACGGCCAACTTGGCGAGAAGCCTGAGATCATGTTCGAAAAGAAGGTCATCAAGGACGGTAACGCGGCCGAAGAAGTCCGCTTCCCGATCAAGGCCAAATACGTGCAGTCTTTCCTCGAAGACAAGTACCACATGGAGAAGAGCATCGAGAAGATGGAATACCGCCCCAACAAGAACCAGGAGGAGGTGGACAACTTCAAGAAGGCTGTAACAGACATCCAGAGCTTTGTCAAGGAGCAGAAGCTGCAGCCAATGCTGCGCGCCAACTACACCCGCACCGCGTTCCAGATCCCCGGCGACAACCGCGTGCGCATCTCCCTAGACACCAACCTCGCCCTGATCCGCGAAGACGCCCTCGACGACGACAGACCCTGCCGCGACCCCGAAGACTGGCACAGGCGCGACATCGACAACGGGCAGATGGAGTTCCCCTTCAAGGCCCTCAAGAAGGGCGAGCTCCACAAGTTCCCCTACGCCCTCCTCGAGATCAAAGTCAAGGGCCTGAAGAAGTACGAATGGATCGAAGACCTCATGCACTCGCACCTGGTCAAAGAATCCCCCCGCTTCTCCAAGTTTGTCCACGGCGTAGCCAAGCTCTTCGAAGACAACGTCAACACCTTCCCCTTCTGGCTCAGCGAAGTCGACAACGACATCCGCAAAGAACCCGAAGCCGCCTTCGACCAGGAACAGGAAAAGAAGCGCAAAGCAGCCGAGGACGAATTCGCAGTCGGCTCCCTCTTCGGCGCCCGCGCAAGCCCCAGCTACCGCGCCTCCATCGCCTCACCCGTCGGCTCACCAGCCGCAACAAGGTCGTCCGTCCCCAAGAGCGCCTCCGCTGCCGCCCACTCCATGCCCGTCACCAAACCCCCCTTCCCCACAATCGGATCGCACCTCTCCCAGCGCTCGCACCGCGACACCGACACAGCCAATACGCGCATAAACGAAGAACCTGATTCCGACGACGAAAACACCCTCCTCCTTGCCGGTTCCAACGGAAAGCAGCCCAAGAGCAGCGGCGGTCTCGCCTCCCTCTTCCCCTCCTTCTCCACCTCAAAATACGCGCGCAAACAACAACGCGCCATCCAACTCCCGCCCGGCATCCGCGACCCAGGCGTCTGGATCAAAGACCAAGGGCCCGTGCGTGTAGAAGCCAAAGTCTGGCTCGCGAACCAACGGACTTTTATCAAGTGGCAGCATGTTAGCGTCTTGCTTGCCTCGTTGAGTCTTGGTTTGTATAATGCAGCGGGTGAGGCCAATGATATTGCTCGCGCGCTTGCGGTCGTGTATACGTGCATTGCGGCTTTTACGCTTGCGTGGGGGTATGCGATGTATATTTACCGCGCGAGGCTTATTAGGGAGAGGAGTGGGAAGGACTTTGATGCTGTTACGGGGCCGTTGGTTGTTTGTGTGGGACTGGCGGTGGCGCTGTGTTTGAATTTTGGGTTTAAGGTATGTGATTGTCCCCCATCCGTCTCCCATAACGTCCATGATATCATGGATGTGATGGGAAGACGGATTTTAGTGGATGGCATTGCTAACGTGTGGTTTTTACAGTACAACGCCCTCGTCAAGGAAAGACAACATCATCTCCACCACCATCACGGCGCTGGTAGTGTTGTTAATGCTAGTTTTGGGGCTGAACAGATGGAACTTAGGGTGTAAGAACGCGTTTGTTTAGTCATGGTATTGTTTGAAGAAAGAAAAAGGGGGACTTGGGTTGCGTTGAGTTGGGATGGGCGTCGCTGCATGTATCTTTGTACAACATCAGATGAAAGTAATAGTGATGATACGGATTGTTGAATGGTACATCGTTCTTCATTCCCCTGTGTCTTTGATTCGGCACTCGTGAAGTGTCGTTTTGATAGCTCTACATGTCACAGTGTACGTGCGTGTTGCAAGGCATCAGCTGGTAGGCAGATTGGATGGAGAACGGGGTACATGTCAGCGTTGTTGTGGTCTAGTTCCCATGTGAGGAGACACGGGTTCAGGGGCTGTACGATTGTACCGGTTGTACGGGGTTGGTGACTGGGTATGTCAGGTGGCCGTGTGAGACATTGTGATAGTCATCATCACAGATGCGCTATATGTTAATGATACTTGTTGAACTTGATCAATTGGATGGATGAGATGTTTTGTGTATATATTGGTTTCCTGAGTAAAGATGATTGGAGGTGAAACGCTATGATCTCATATATGGAAGTGGCATTATGTGATGATGCCGTGATGACCACAGGTTCGACATAAATTTGCGTACGCGAGGATTCTCATGTGATGGTAGGGAAGAAGGACGAGTCTTTTGTATACTGTTGTCGCTACGCCAGGTGGATGTATACGGCAACTTAGACATCATCTGCTGGTCTGGAAGGTGATTGCGGTGCGTGTGCGGTAGAGCTATATGCTACTGGTTGTGTTCTGGAGGTTTTGACACATCCCGGCTTCACCGAAGATGAAACCCTGCGAAGGAGATCACACAAGTCTGCCTCATCTCGTTTCTCTCACATGGTTGCTAAACATAGCGATGGATCAACAGCTCGTCAGTTGGTGGAGTTGGTGGTAAGAAGGGATGCCTCAAAAGGTACTTTGGGACACAGCCCACGACCAACAAATACGTGCGACGAGCATGCAACAAGCGCCTCGTGCTCGCAGGACAAAAATCTCCGCTGTTTTCTTGTTGTTGTGTGCAACAGGTTTTGTGCCGTCTATTAATATTCAGCGAGAAGAAGCATCGAAGCAAGGCATGAGCGAAAAGTGGTGGTGGCTGGTGCGGCGGTGATGGGGCTGGCAGCTGGCGGGTGCATTAGTTTTGTGTTTCGCTGCTCAAGCTTTGTGGCTGGTGCTTCCGTTGGACTGGAACCGGGATGCTGAGTGCTTGACACATCGACGTGGCTTCCACGAAGTTTGTCGACTGCTTCGAGCCTCCAGCTGCTCTGCTATTGCCATCGGCAGCCTCGTAGTCGATAGCGTCCTCTGAAAAATCAGCAAAA